TTTTTGAATGATTTTTTAGGTCATCGTGTGCAATAGATATTGGATGTATTGATGAACATTGTATGAAACATTTATTTTTATAATATCTTTGCCATAGGCATTTTATAACTTCAACCCTTGAGTTAGCAAGGCTCAGGTCAATACCTCAAAATCGCTATAGCTGATATATACATTGTTATCGTTATACTGTAACAAATGTCAGGTGGTGACATTTTACATGTTGATGCCTTGTTTAAAGTTGCCTGCAATCTCTGATTCTGTATATAAAGCTGCAATTCTTACATCTTTCATCTCATAAAATTGCATTTATTGCCTTTTAGAATTGAAGGTGCAAACGTTTCTTAACTGTTGAATTTGTCTTGCTGCATACTAGGTGGGTTTCTTTCAAACTTTGATATTTATAGGAAAGATGAGATATGTAAGAAGGTCTATTAATCTCTTGAATCCCAGGCACAATAATCAGTGGAAACCAGAGAATTTTTCATTTTTGCCAGATTTTAACATTTTACTACATATCGTCAGATATCATTTCTACACATCTCAAAACAATTTTTGTGAAAATTGGATGAAAATTGTTGCAATTTAAGTGAAAAGATTAATTAGCGGATTTTCTCGTCACTCTGGGTTTCAAGGTAATATCCGAGATGACGAGAAATCTTGTCACTCTGGGTCATCAAGAGGTTAATGGTACAAGTAACATTTGATTGATTATGAATAAAAAAAAACATTTTAAAAAATTGACATTTAAGTTTGAAATGCAAAATAAAATCTTACATTATTTACAAAAAATAAGAGACAAGATAAATACTTCCCTTATTGTTGATACAGGGTTTTTGGGTTTTATGTCTATAATTTGTGAATCTATTCTTTAGTTTCATCTTTTAGGGGCATGTCTTCAGGATTATAATATTACAGTTTTTTAATTCCTCATATATATCATATACTCACGAGAGTATAATGATAAACAGAATCTACCATTATCACGCAGTCCTAACTTCGACCTTCTAACAGCTGGGGACCAAAACGCTGCTAGAACGAGGGACTCTTTACAATAAAGTAATGCACCGACAGAAAGGCAATTTTGTTCTGCTTTTAATGGTATAAGTTTGAAGAAAACGTTGCAGTATGAGACTCGCAATCCTTGATTTTCAAGCACCTGGTAGGTCAAAAATTCAAATTAAGTGTCGAAGTTAGGACCGCATGATTATATGACCTTATTATCCCATCCTAAGTGCTTTATAATAAAAAAAAGATTAAAAAAGGTTAATCTAAATTGAGCAGTGTATATCAAGTCAAAGTTGTATATCCTTCTCGAGAGTTGTAAACGATGAGTTTTGGTTTTATATTGCAGTTATACAATGCTATTATACAATCATATTTAGCACTTCAGGTAGGAAAACACAGCATACACTCATATTTCCATATTTCTTTAGTATTTTCATACTTCCTGATGTAAAGTACTAACATGGTTTCATGCAATTTTGGTGCATTTACTCGTATAAATAATTATACATGTAAATATAATATAAATGATTGAAAATAAGGACACTTACTCTAATCCTGCACCTATAGCATATGTGTTTAGTGCCATCTGCTCTGCGTTATCATTAATGACCACCATGTAACCTCCTCGGTCATCGCACCAGGTCTCCCCATCATCGTAATTAATTTCTGTGGCCGTATGAAAGTAAGCTTTACATATGGATATATTAACGACTAAGATATAAATGTTCAATTCTTTTTTATTCATTTTCCTGGTTTTCACTTCTTTTTTATCAGTTGATGTATCTCCAGTCTGAACTTTTATGATAACTAATGGTATACCCTTCTAAATACAATATACATGTTATGAATCCAATAAAAACGTATGTAAATTCCTATCTAAGTGTTGTTCCTATCTAATTCCTATCGTAGTGATATTGCAATAAGATAATCACTTGTTTCTCTCATCATTTAACTCCCAATAACTGATTCGTCAGTGATATTTTCATTGGCTTTTAATCCATCTCTGATTGGTTTCTGTTTGCGTTGATCCATTGATTAAATCGTGTTAACGTTTGTTATTGGATGTAAGCTCTGTCAATTTGCGTAATAGGTATGGGCTTCTTCAGAATATTACCATAGCGAGAAATGGAATTTTAAGTGTAGTTAAGTATTGCAGAAGACAAGGATCAATGTGACATATAGGATGCATTAATGTCATTTGATACTCCTTTTATTTATTTATGTCTTGTAATTGCTTGGCTATTAGGAATTAGAAAATGTACATATGGATTTGATCCAGTTGTTTAACTTATATTCAGAATAATGTTAGTCCCAGGCATGGGTTTAGAGCCTATTACACAAAATACGCACTGGCATACCAAATTTTGAAAAAAATTAAAATGTGTTAAAATGCATTAATTTATTTGCGAATTTATTGATGCTTCCTACTGTATCAACATTTAAAGTAGATAAAAACGCTTAGATTCCATCAAATAACGTCCTTGAAAACAATTTCCACGGGGGAGCATACCCCGGACCCCCCGTGATGCGCAGCCTTCGGCCACGCAATCAGGCATCCCTGAGTGTGCGTACCAACTCAAAATATAGCCCTTTGCCCATGTCAGATACAATTGCTTTAGGAATTAGAATATACATCTCTGTATGATACCTCAAGGAACATACCAACATTGTATCTTTATTTTAAAAAACCCAAATAGCTCAATGAATCTGTGTAAATTTTAATATTATTTATTTTAGAAAAACTTGAAATCACTGCACCATAATTATTCAAAATATTCATTAATCATTTCAGAATTAATGATGTTTAATCCAGTTTTTATTTTGAGAATCTATTTCCTGTCATGATAAGAAACATGTTGGGCCTCAAAAAAAAAATTTCCTTGCTTCCTATTTTCAAAATTATATAAATCCATGGATCAACTGTTTTTGGCACCTGGACCCATCCTATTAGAAAGGTAAAGACTATTTTTTTGAAGTATTGCTTGAAACCCCTTATTTTGCCCTTTAAAGTCTTGGAAAGTGCCTTTAATAAGAAAGAGTTAGAAATAAACTAAAAAATCATTGAAAAAATCCTTTTACATGTTATTGTCATCAACTTTTAAAACAATTTGCCAAGTCAGCTCTATGTGAAAAAGTGTAAAACATAAGATAATTTTATTTGATAATAATGATTTGATAATGACAATGTTTTGTTTAAAGGAATATTCCTTGCCAAACCATCTCTCTCCTCATATGGTAGCTATAACCATATATGTGCTTGCCATGTTTAGCAAAACACGCAAAAATGTTTTGATATGGTCAAATTTGATCACTTAGAAATGTGATGCTCAATTCCAGTAAGCTGCCATCTTTTAAAATTTCACACAGGAAGTGATGTCATCGACTCTCAACTTTGCATATAGCATTAGGTGAGGAGCTATTAAGAATTACAAAACCAGCTAAATATTCTTTTTCAACTTTGTATCTTATTTAATCCTTCTGAAAATCTCTTCTTTTATTCTAAGTTGACAAGCCCTGAAAATATTTTTGCACAGAAAGTAATGATCACTTGTCTAGAAGTGATTTTGTGCTACTTTCCTATACTGTTATGGGCAAGGTTATAGAAGTTGAGAGTTGATGACATCACTTCCTGCAAGAAATCTTAAAAAGATGGCAGCTCACTGCAAAGAAGCACTAGATTTTTAAATGATCAATATTGACCATATCAAAACATTTTCCCATGTTTTGCTAAATATGGAAACGATATATATGATTATAGCTACCATATCAAGAGAGAAAGGGTCTGGCAAGGAATATTCCTTTAAATATTTGCCAGATGTACTCTTAATCTAGTGTTTCAACCTGTGGATTTCCCCAACACTGTCAATAAAATGTTTTGTGTCTTATAGATGATAGACCCTGTATTAAGTGTAGCAGCTGCCCTAAGTGTACAATTGCCAAGTAACTCAATGATTATGCTTTGTGTCTTATAGATGATAGACCCTGTATTAAGTGTAGCAGCTGCCCTAGGTGTACAGTTGCCAAGTAACTCAATGATTATGCTTTGTGTCTTATAGATGATAGACCCTGTATTAAGTGTAGCAGCTGTCCTAAGTGTACAGTTGCCAAGTAACTCAATGATTATGCTTTGTGTCTTATAGATGATAGACACTGTATTAAGTGGCCTTAAGTGTAGCAGCTGTCCTAAGTGTACAGTTGTCAAGTAACTCAATGATTATGCTTTGTGTCTTATAGATGATAGACCCTGTATTAAGTGTAGCAGCTGCCCTAGGTGTACAGTTGCCAAGTAACTCAATGATTATGCTTTGTGTCTTATAGATGATAGACCCTGTATTAAGTGTAGCAGCTGCCCTAGGTGTACAGTTGCCAAGTAACTCAATGATTATGCTTTGTGTCTTATAGAGGATAGACCCTGTATTAAGTGTAGCAGCTGCCCTAAGTGTACAGTTGCCAAGTAACTCAATGATTATGCTTTGTGTCTTATAGATGATAGACCCTGTATTAAGTGTAGCAGCTGCCCTAGGTGTACAGTTGCCAAGTAACTCAATGATTATATTTTGTGTCTTATAGATGATAAACCCTGTATTAAGTGTAGCAGCTGCCCTGAGTGTACAATCCCCTAGTAACTCAATGATTATATTTTGTGTCTTATAGATGATAGACCCTGTATTAAGTGTAGCAGCTGCCCTAAGTGTACAGTCACCAAGTAACTAAATGATTATATTTTTGTCTTATAGATGATAGACCCTATATTAAGTGTAGCAGCTGCCCTAAGTGTACAATCACCAAGTAACTCAATGATTATATTTTGTGTCTTATAGATGATAGACCCTGTATTAAGTGTAGCAGCTGCCCTAAGTGTACAGTCGTCAAGTAACTTAATGATTATATTTTGTGTCTTATAGATGATAGACCCTGTATTAAGTGTAGCAGCTGCCCTAAGTGTACAGTCGCCAAGTAACTCAAACTAAATGATTATATTTTGTGTCTTATAGATGATGGACCCTGTATTAAGTGTAGCAGCTGCCCTAAGTGTACAGTCACCACTAACAAGTAACTCATACTATGATTACGACTGCAAGAATAATATGAAGAACATAGAGTCTGACCATGGAGATCCCTTTACACTTCTCAGTGCATTTGATGAGTGGATACAGGTACATATACATTCGTATAATCATTTCTAGTAAAATGGTAAATCTCGGACATGTGAACAATTCACCATTGATATTCAAAGATATGACCAGAGTTGCAAATCCCGGTTGTATGGTCGTAATTTTACGACTTTTTTTCAATTTATAACCAATGAATTGAAAATACTTGCCATTCGTACGAGTATGACGTGGTCCTGAAACTCGTAGTATTAAATTCCCGATATATGACCGAATTTCAATATCAGGACATTAATTTCTTACTATACAATGCATCAAATGTGTATAAATAGCGAGGAAGAGCTATGAATTCGTTCTTATGTGTAACGTCTGGCCTAATTTGTGGTAGTGTGGATGTTGTTATTAATCAGACCAGGTTACTTCGTAGGATACTTGGTACACGTTAAATGTACGCATGAATAAAGAGACACAATATTTAATATAAAATTAACAACATATATTCTGGCTTCATCCGCCTCAAAATAATACAACACAAATCGACAATTGATACTAAGTTTCAGTTTCAGAGGTACTAATTATAAGTCCTTTATGCAATTATACTTGTATATTTATCTATATATAAAAGTGTTCATCACTAATATAGTTTTTCATCAGCTGAGCGAAGCATATTCTAACTCCACCAAGTTGAAGATATCTAAGTTCATCAAATGAGTTGTGAATATTCTAAATCTATCAACTGAAGATGCATGGAATCTGCTGAGTTCTTCAGATTAGCAATGAATATTCTAAGTCCCTCAAGCTGGTAATATTCTAAGTTCATCAAGTTGTAGATGCAGGAAATCTACAAAGTTCCTCTAGGTAGAGATGAATATTCTAAGTCCCTCAAGCTGGTAATATTCTAACTTCATCAAGTTGTAGATGTAGAAAATCTAAGTTCCTCTAGCCAGCTATGAATATTCTAAGTCTCTCAACATATGCGTGAATATTCCTTAAGTTCCTCTGGGCATCAAACTCCAGGCAACTATGGTGAATATTGGCTAAGTCCCTCAATATATGCGTGAATATTCCTTAAGTTCCTCTGGGCATCAAACTTCAGGCAACTATGGGGAATATTGGCTAAGTCCCCCAACATATGCGAATAATCCTCTAGATTATATCCTCTAAGTGCATCTACCTAAAAATCTGCTAAGTCCATCTACAGGTGTGTTGAATCTTTCCAAGATCCTCGAAATACCTCTGGGTAAAATCCTCAAAGTCCCTCAACGGGTTTGTCGAACAGTCTATGGCATGGGCCATTTTCCACCGCTGTATGGGTCAGTTGTAAAATGGCCCGACCTAGTAACCTACATGCATATTTCTCTGTAATTAATCAAAATTAAGGATTAAAGATGGCATGATACTCTAGCTCATTTGAATATCTACACACCAGTGTCAGTCTCTTTTTTGACGTCCATATCAATATGGAGCAATAGCAATGTGAAGAATTTGGGAAGTTTTCTTAATTATCTCAATTTCTCATGAACCATTTTTTTTAAAAATAGGATCATAACGTAATTTAATATCTTGGCATCAAGTTTATTTGATTCATTTGAGTGACCAAAAAGCTTAAAGGGTAAAAAATCAAAGTGATCACGGCCTTGTGATTTCCAATATTTGATAAAACATTTTTTCACCCAGACTAGGTCATGACCTACTCGGCCATAATCCAACCCCATTAAAGATTGATATGTACAAATTACTTAATCAAGTGCCATTAATCTGCTAGTATAGTGTCTTTGTGGTACAGAAGATGTTAGCATATAATATTGAGCAGTTCACATACTTTGTAATATTAAAATTGTTGAAATAAGACTAAAAGATTTGCAGTTCTGATATGTCAGTTCACAAGTTCTAGTTAAACAAGGGGGGGGGTATAGCATTCTACTACAAGAGTACAATGTGACACAGTTTACAAGATCTATAGAACGATATTAACTATTTTTAACCTCACACCTTTCCTACTATTTTTCCATCTGATAAAAGTGCTTTGGCATTTAATCATTTTTATAAGAACATATGAGGATATGCTGAATTTAATTGTGATAAGACAATATGTGTGAAATTGAATAAAGCAGTAAATACGAATTATTACGTTTTGACATATTTCATATGTAGAAACTGCTATGTATATTATTTTTATCCCTCTATTATTCATTTACAATTGACTTGTTTCTTTCACCATTATTCAATGTGATTTTATTTCAAAAATAACGTTGTCTAATAATAATAATATGTTGTCTTCTGATAGCTTGTATTCTAAAGCTTCGTTTTTCTAAAAATAATTATACTTGTACATACAGAATGCATAATTCATTTACTCAATGGACTTTTATATTGAAGGTGTTGAAATTCAACATCATAATATATTAGTAAACATAAGCCAAACATAAGTATGTGCTAAAACAATAGTCACTAAAACTAAAATAGAAAGATTTTTTAATGGATATATTGGTGTTATATACTGTACGATCAACATAACAGATAATAATCAACTTATCCATTCTCATTTACTTTGCACAAGTCATCGGTGATGAGCAAGAAAAGGCTGCAAACAATCATATTCAACAAGAAATACAGATTTGTTTGACTTCCAACCCCATCACAATGGTAAATGCACTATATGTATACTTCAAAAAGAAAGGCAATGTACAAATGTTTAGATTCCATAGAACTAAAAACCCCGATAGATGCTTATTTGTTGCCTCAATCTAATCACAAAAACAGAGATAAACAGATTTATAGAATAATATTTGCAAGAAATGACTTGTTAACAGTGATAAGATGAAAATATGTACACATTATCAGAAGAAATGAAATCATTTCCAAGTGAATCTCTATTAAATTCAATGAATGACATTTCTATTATATCATACTGCAAAGGAGATTGTCATTAGAGAGATTTCGTACATCGTGAAAGTACAACTTATAACGTATACTTATAAGTAAACGTACAAGGTGTTTCATAATGTGGGCTTTTCGTCAGGAAAGATCTTCTCGGACTGTAATAAATACCTGTAAAGGTCAAAGGGATGCCATTTGTACTTTCTTGAATTGTAGCATGTTTAGTTGATCCAAATATGTTTGTCTAGAATAAAATAGGCTCATATATAGTACATAATGTTATAGACCCATCTCTTCTCAAATTGACTTTTTGGAGATGCTCGTTATGAAACACCCTGTATGTCATTTGTTGAGCTTCTGAATGGGTCGTTTCCAGGAATCGCTAGAACCTACTGGTTTGATTGGTGTTTCAAATTGATGGTTAAGGTATTTGATTGGATATTGTTCCTATTCAGTCAATTAATTTTTTAAAATGCTTGCGGTCAATTGTTCCACACACATGTAGGTAAAGCTTTATACGGAGATGATCCAACTGTATACGTTTATCATCTACGTATTTATACCGTTTGTAAGTTCATTGAACTTATACTGATCATGAAAACTTTGAAATAATTTTATGTAATGACTCACTTTAAAGGATAATGACTCACTTTAAAGGATCGTGTTTATAATACACTATAATTACTATGACACGGAAGCAAGCATTTAATTATAATGTGCATAATCTACACGTGCAGATGACAGTGCATTCACAGTCTCTAGTTGATGGAGCTTTTCTATATCGGGAATAGTTATGTTCCATTAAGTACAATTTAAAATTGATTTTAGTAAATATAATAGTTCGACAAGACCCTTTAAGTTATACGTATACGTATAAGTTGTACTTTCACTTATGTGCGAAATCTCTCTATTCTGCCCCTAAAATGGTTATAATTTTGGAAAGATTGTTGTTAATGACAATTTATTGGCCCTTTGTTATTTTTGACAAATATGGAAAAAGTGCAGATATTCTGGGATTAGTAAGAGAAAAACGCTTGAAAGTTGCGTGTAGGTGGGCATGTAGGTTCCTTGGGATTTCTTCCATAACAAAGGCATGACAACAATACATATGCATACATGTAGTTAAATCTATCCTTTTGGTCTGGGATGACCTTCGTTTTTATATGAGGAAGGCCCTTCATTTAAAATATTGATACCCGAGATAGATGATACTTCCAAAATTTTGTATGAATATACAACTATTGCAATTTTACTGTATAACTAGATTCAACAATATTGAAATATTCATGTACTAGGAGTAATCTACACTCAATTTGTATAATCGTGTTTTGTTTAATTGAGTGAATCAGGTCGGGCCATTTTACAATTTTAGTTAAGGTCATGGAATTAGGTCATTTGGGCCTTTCTCCCATGGAAGCTATGACCTAAATATGAGGTGGAAAATGGCCCATGCCATAGACTGTCGAATCTGCCTAAGATCCTCTAGGTACATCAGGGTAAAATCATCTAAGTCCCTCAATATATGTGATGAAAATCTTCTAAGTCCATCAGATATATTCGTAGAATTAGCCTAAGTCCATCAAGCGTCAATCCCTGGAGGCACACAGGTCTGTCCTCTCTCAGTTCCAGCTAGAAAAGTGCCTGCTGAGTCACCTGGTCGTCTCTATTTATACCCCAGACATGTATGTAACATGTACTAGGTTTTGCACACGAACCTATCAAGTGATTAATGGGCTGATGCAATACCTGGCCAGTCACTAGAATTCCAGGCAGGACAACACTATTGCAGAATAAATAACTATGATGCAATGATGACATCACTTTTACAAAATAATTGGCTTCACCTAGCAGTCACGATCTCCGTTGTTTAACACAAAACGACACATATCCTGTAATTAACTAGCTAGATTAAGATATAAACTAAATAAATATAACAAAAACCAATCATCATTGGCTCTAAATATGGCAAAATTGCAAGGAAAAACGAGTAATTGAATGTAGGTCAAAAGAGCTCTCTAATAGGAGGTGAGAAAATGTACACAAACGGAAACAAAATAAATCTCCCAGAAAAGAGTAGTTTACACAATTCCCAGTACACCTAAAGTCTTCTATACATACATGTAAGTATATAAGCTGTCAACTGTGACTGGGAAACACTTTCCTAC